ACGCAGGAAGCTGGCTTTCAAGCTGGATCCCTGCATGTATTGGTTCCCACAGAGTCGCGTGCTTCCCCTCCTTGCTGCCTCTGATAAAGAGGCAGCAGCATGGGGCAGGTAGGAGTCAATGCTCGTGTGGAGCCAACTTAAAAGCTTCCCAAGAGCACTGGCTCCTGCCTACTCTCCGCCTCCCCACTATGTGTAAATGTGCAATCTCTTAAAAAAAAATCCAGCAGTTACACGCTTACCCAAATACATGTTCGTTAACATCCCCATTTTAGAGTACACAAATTCAGTGCTAAGGTTAACAGAATTAATGCCCCATAGCTAATACCATGCCACACCTGCCAATCCCTAACATGTCCAATATACCACCTTAAACCCATCTCATCCTAAGTTCCCTAACTGCTGAATTCTTCTCAAGCTTTTGTATTTGTGTCCTCTTGGAGTCACATACTGGATAAACGTTCTTCTTTCTAGTGACTAGATGAAAATACCAATGGAGTGTGTTGTTAAGGCAGTGATGGAATTAATTAAAAATCCATAGAATAAAGCTATGGACATTGGACTGCAGAAATAAAACCATCTGTTCTCTCACTTAAGTGAGGTAGCATTTATACTAAGAGTCTACTCATGTGAAGCAAGTTGTGGGATCCCAGCCCACTATCATGAGAATTTTGGAGTAGGGACTGTTTTCTATATGTACAGCATAAGGTGGATTGATTAAAATCAGTAATTTTAAAGATTTAAATCAGCAATCAGGGAACCTGAATTTAAATAATTGATTTTAATCTTTATTTTGTGTTTATACTACTTAGAATCTCTCTTTAGAAAAATAACTTTCTCATTGATTGCTATAGCTGTTAAAACTAAACTGTGAATATGCTATTGACTGTAATCTTTTCACTAAATTGGTAACCAGGAGGCTATTATGTTTATATGCATTTATTTAAGCAGTTATACAGCTTAACATACCTTTTATTCTGATTCTTATTTTCGCAAATGACACACTACTTTTTTACTCATTTTGTTAAGTTGCATTTGGATGGAAATTGGAATTGCATTAAAATGCGCAACAGTGTAAAATTAATTTTATTTAATAAAACCATCTTAAGCGTTATATACATAAGACATATAAGCTTATCAAAACACATTTTCATTTAAAACGGATTTATTGCGCAAATGAAGTATTAACTATAGTTTAGTAAATTGACAGATTGTTTCTAATTATCACAGGCCAGATTTTCAAAAGTATTTAGGTGCCTAAAGATAGAGATATGTGCTTAGTGGGTTTTTCCAAAGCACCATGGGAGTTAGGTACCTAACCTGCTTAGCTGCCTAGAGGAATTTTCAAAAATGCCTATGTATGTCTTCAGGTGCTTTAAAAGTGTATGAATATCTGGTCCCATGCATGTCTGATAGAGTTTAGAACTGATAGAGCTCATCTTTTCCCAGCTGTATTTTTTTAATCCATACTTAATGTTAGATAAAAAGCTTTTCTTCTTTCTTTCAACTCCCAATCAGTTTCTCAATTTTGAATGAGCTAGTCCAAATGAAAAAAATAGTTTCTCTCCACCTGTTGTCTAAACTGAAACCAAAAACAAGATGGAAGCTTTTTGCACAACAGAAACTGAAAGTATTTGTGTTAGGAAAAAATGTAAATATCAGCATTTGTTGCATTTTAAAGACTGAAAAAAACTTTTTGCAATATATGACATGGGCATATTTGTAAATGTTGAGTTGACCTTAAAAGAAAAGATGTATTTCCCCAATCCTGCTATAAATAAATAAGCATCACCCTTTAATGCCTTTAGGGCTCATTGCTGCATATCGATTTAAATAGGTTTTAAAAGATAGTAAGTTTAGGCTTTAACATAGAGTATCATAAATTAAAACTCAATGAGATTTATTTTCAAAAAGAAAAATGAATCTCTTTTTATTTAAGAAATCATCAATATTTAGCCATCTTGGTGGGGCACCTAGTTCAGCTGCAAGCCAGTACTGGAATAGTAAGGTCCTAGTACTTTGTGTCTTTAGGTATTACCAGAGAAGCGAAGTTTGAAACTGGTGAAAAATCAGAATATTAATGTAAACTGGTACATGTATTGTCCAGAGAGTGCCGTCATTTTGTTGTCGACTACAGTACTTGGCAACGTTCTCCAGCCATTCTATTTCAAGGTAAGGGGGACGTTCCCATTCCTAAATTTCGTATGATACATTGATTTTTCAGGTGACTGTCTTGTTCTTCCTTCACATCACGTATCAGTCTTTTATATTTTTAGTTCATTCCTAGATGTGTAATGTATTCAGTGCCTCATACATACAAACAAAAATAAGCAAGCAAAATGAAAATCTACATGACAATCTTTCTCCTATGAGTTGAGAAGGAAGAAATTTCTATTCCTATATACTTATGAGACATTCTAACATTAGATGGACTTCCCTTCAGAAGGAGGTGTATTAAGATGATTCTGGATAGCTGACATTAGAGGAGTAAAGCAGCAAAAGAAAAAAAAAATCAATTACAGTAAAACTCCGATGGTCCGGCATCTGACGGTCCGGCACTCCTGATGGTCCGGCACCATCAGGAACCCGGAAGTGCTCTGGGCAGCCGGACCATTGGAGCTGCTCTGCCCCCAGCTTCCCCGATTCAGCCGCTGCTAAAACTGACCA